TGTGTGTGTGTGTGGTTTGGAAGTGTGTGTTTCTCTGAGGACAAGGAGAAAAGATAAAGGATTAGAGAGAAGAGCTAGGAGGACAGGTGTGGTAAAAAGGGTACAGGAATCAGAAGATACCTTGGGCAAGATCTCTCTGGGTTTCAGTTTCTTTAACTGTAAAAATTTGTGGAATGATTAAAGAAATCAAATGTGATATATATTTGAAAGCACTTAATGTTCCTGTAGACAAATGTGATTGTCATTAGAATAATTATTAAAAATGTAATACAGATGATAAAGTAACCCTCAAGGGTAGGATGACTAACATTTTCTTCATTTTTTTGGCACTAGTTCTTACCATATGTCCAGTTCAGAGGAATACTCAGTCGCTCCCAGCAAGGCATCAGGAGGGCGGTACCAAAGGGTCACAACTTCTGAAGAGTATGTCTGGCTGGGAATGGACTTGGCCCGAGCAAGTCCTGATTGAAGGAGAGAAGCACCGAACTCATTGTCCTGGGATTTCCTGGAGAGCCACAGTAATACATTCTACCAAGGAGAGTATAACTGGCTGAGCAAACAATATTTTGAAAATAATACCCAAACTCTGGAAGCTTTTCATAGAGCTATTCAACTATCTTGATCCGTGTGTACCTCTTCATCAAGGGAATTTCTCAAATTTTGGCCTACTTTGCAGCTAGATGTGACCTTCCTGGTAGTTAAGTGTAATGAGGTGACTAGATTCTTGCCTATATGATATGAACAGAAGTGATGTATGAACTTCCAAATCATGCACTTAATGGAAGGGTTAGCGTTTCTCTTTTTTCTCCTTCCTCCAGGCTGTAATGAGAAGGAGGTGGCAGCCATCTTGAAATATGCAGTTGGGGCAAATACCCAAGGAATGGGGTGGGAGGGAGGGGGGAGGCACATGACAGAAGGAGTGTGGGCCAAAACACAAGAAGCCACCTTACAAGTTCTAACTGCTTAGGTCAGAAGGTTACATGAAAGAAAGTTAAGCTTGCAGTGTGTTTACACCTCTGTAATTTTGGGTCTCTGTCACAGCACTAGAACTCAATTCACAACTAATATAGCTGCCCTCCATTTCTGCAGTCCAGAAATCTGCAGTTAGATAAAGAGTAGGGATTGCTAATCCAAATTAGTTAGCTTGGTGGGACCTTAGATGAGTCATTTTCAAGTGATCCTCTGCAAAAAAAGTTATTTTGTCAGTCAGAATCACATGATCTATAGCTGGAAAAAAAACTTCAATAGATGAGTTGCTGTTGTGGGGAACTGATAAATGAATGCCTGTTAAAAGCTCACATGTCTGTATGAAAGCTACTATCTCAAAAGAAAGTATTGCAGCTATAGTAAAACTATCTGACATCTGCCAAACAGAGAAGAGTGTTTCCTTAGCTCACATGGAACCAGCTTTTCAACAAATATTTATTGAGCACTTACCAGGCACTAGGGATACAATGATAAGCAAAAATGGACCCAGGTTGCCTTCATAATGTCTAGAGTCTAGTGGAGGAGACAAAACATCACACAAGTGTGTGTGTGTGTGTGTGTGTGTGTGTGTGTGTAGCTATAAACATGTGCTAAAATGGAAAGATACAGTGATACTCAGGGGAAATCTGCATTACTTGGATGGGAATAAAAGCCTCAGGTACCCATACAATCACACCTATACGGATACATAGGTGAGCAGGAACAAGTGTCCTGAAGCCTCCATTCCAGCAGGAGTCCATCCTACAATCTGGAGTTAACTGCTTAATCTTGCCATCCTGGGACACCTTGATGTATTCTGATAGAATTTGTATATCCACCTAGATTTAGAGAAACTTACCATGTACAGTTCACTCTACAGTTGTCTCTATATAAAAAATGACAATGGGCTAGTAGAGGTGCCCACGATTTAGGACCTGATTAGATTGAGGCTTGATAGAACCCTAAAAAGCTACCAATCTTTCTCCCTGTTTCTTGCCTCATACTTCTTATATGGTAGTTTGATATCCTCACAAAGCATCATGTTCCCGGGGTCTCTACTTTTCAAAGCCCAGGCCTCATCAATGCTTTAAACATGTACCCACANGAACCGGGGCCCTGCTGCTCAGAACTGGCGTCCCAAGCCAGCTCTTAACCAACGCGCCACTCGGCCGGCCCTATATACATTCTTCTTGAACACATATGAAATAGCTGCAAACACAGATCATAAAGTAGGCCAGCACTTCTTACAAGGCCAGTGCTTCTCGTGCCATCTTTGGTGAAACACCAGGTGTTTCCTCAATTTTTTTGCTAACTTTTAATTTTGAAATAATTTCAAGTGTAAAGTTTCAAGAACAATAGGAATAACTCTCTGATACCCTTCAAACAAATTCACAGATTGCCAATGTTTTGCCACTTTCCCTTCATCATTTTCTCTCTAACTCTACATCTATATCTATCTATCTAATCTATCACCTATTTTTTTCTGAACCAGTGATGAATAAGTTGCTGATATCATGACTCTTCATCCCTAAAAACTTCCATGTGTGTTTTCTAAGAACAAAAGCACTCTCTTACATAACAACAGTGCAACTATCAAAATTAGAAAATTTAACATTGATCCAATGCCACTATCTAATCCACAATCTATATTTAAATTTCACCTATTGTCCCAGTAGTGTCCTTTAGCTCCATTTCCCCCTGGATCCAATCTAGTTTAGTTGGCATGTCTCTTCGTTTCCTTTAATCTGTAACAGTTCCTCGGTCTTTATTTGCCTTTTAAAACTTCGATCCTGTTGGGGAACAGAAAATGCCATCCCAAAACATGCTACTCTGACATAAGGATTATTTTGAGTTGAAGGCAACTGAGAAAAAGGAAACACAGGATGAGCTCTTTGCTTCCCCTTTCTGCCTGAAAGCAGGACATAAATTCCCTTTGTGAAGATGTCGCCTCATCTTACCACCCTTCCCATAATATTAGAAGAGGAGAACAGCCTTATTACCAGAGACAGAGATGGTACCAAGAAGAATCTGCATTAAAACTTTGCTTAGTAATAACCCCTATTTACTATTAGGGTCCCCCATATATTTACCTTCCTGCAATTTATTGCCCCTGAAAAGTCCAGAAGCTCCTTTCCTTTACCTTGTCACTTCTCTACAAATGCATTGTCTTTTGTCATAATGGTATAAAACCCTCCAAGCCTAGCTGCTTCTTTGGGGTTTTCTCTTCTTTCTAGGAAATCACCTCCCCTATGTTATAATATCAAATCAAGTTTTCATGCTTTTCTCCTGTTAATCTGTTTTTCATCAGTTTATTCTGCAGGCCCATCCACTGAACCTAAGGGGATAGAGAAAAAATCTTCCTCCCCTACAAACTTTTTAAAGCATACAGGCCAGTTACATTATAGAATGTCTCCCAAACTGAGTTTATCTGATGTTTCCTTATGATTTGATTGAGACTATGTTTTTTTGTTTGTTTGTTTGTTTTGTTTTTTTGCAGGAAAGCGTAAGTTATATTGTATCCTTCTCAGTGCATCATATTCGGAGGCACATGATGTCAATCAGTTCCATTATTGACAATATTAATGCTAATCATTTGGTTAAGGTGGTATCTGCCAAGTTTCTCTACTACAATGTTACTATTTTCCCCTTGTAATTATTAAGTAATTTGTGGAGAGGTACTTTGAGACTATATAAATATCTTATTGCTCTTCAAACTTTACCCTCTAGTTTAGCATTGGTGATTCTTGTTTGAACCAATTACTATTATATTACAAAATAGTGATTTTCTAACTCCATCATTTCTTCTCCAATTATTAGTCGGTGTTCTACTGTAGCAAGAATCTTCCCCTCTTATCTATCACCCATCTAGCTAACTTCAATATAGACATTTGTATTCTTATATTGTTCAATGGGTTATAACCTATTACTCTATTTATGTTTATGCTCAAGTTGTACCAGCTCTGGCTAGCGGGAGTCTCTTCAAGCTGCTTCCAGTGTCCTTTTGACATATACCCATCATTTTTTTATCACTTTGTAAGAAAATATTTCATCCTGGGCCAGCCGAGTGGTGTGTTGGTTAGGAGTTGGCTTGGGACACCAGCTCTGAGCAGCAGGGCCCCAGTTTGAATCCCACATGAGGGCCAGTGATACTATGCTCTCTACAGCTAAGATGGTGAGGGACGACTCGACCGGGAGCTGGGCTGTCCTGAGTGTACAGCATAGGCTGCAGTGGGGCTGGGTTGCAGCGGGCGTGAGCTTTCATGAGCTGCCGTGAGCGGCCATCAGTGGCTGGTGGCCGATCTGCCTCATTCGGGAAGAGCGCAATGATCACAATACCAACATGGGCCAGTGAAGTGACTTCCTCCACAACTAGACTGAGGAACAAAAGGACAGCAACTTGTCTGTTCCCCTTCCCTGATTCCCCAATGCTGTTCCCCTCCCCCAATTCCCCAATAAAATCTTTA